TATCAAAGTATACTGTGTAATCATAAGGTTCTTCAAAGAATTGCTGTGTGTTTCAAACCTATGGTAGGTTATGTATTGTTTATATGTATTAAAATATATTTCTTATGTATCATTACACGAATAGATGATGATAAATGATAGATTAGATTACCACAAAACAAGTTATTCGTTATGTGTTCAACATGAGTTTAAGAAAAAAGATCATACAAGTTATGCCCAAAAAAGGTTTAAAATATAGTACCTGCACTACCTACCATTGAAGTTCGTATACAGGACGTCTCACGATATTGCCACATGGAGGGAAAGTATATTAAATATTGAAGATAGGATATTTTACTGAAAGAAGACATCATTTTATTTTTAATAATAGTTAGAACTGTACTCACAGCTTTTTTAAAAATCGCCTGCCACAGCCGGGATCAAACTAGTGAAATGTGAAAAAAAACCATTGTGTATTTCATGATAAATATCGAAAGGGTTAATCATAAGGAATATTTTTTTCCTAAATAACATAGTATTTTAAATGAAAGGAAGATCATGGAATTAAAATTTTATTCAGGAGAATTTGCTCTGGCTTTTCCGTGCTTTCAACAACTAACATTATCATTTCAAGTATATACTAACTAGTACTTGCTAACTTAATAATACAAGATTTCCTTATTATAAGTACGTGCAAAGAATAATAAGCAATAATTATACAAACAGTAGTATGTACTTATATGCATTTCTTTGTGAGGTCACAATTACAATGCGGCTGGCTTTTTTGTAGGGTTATGTAAAAAAATAGTTTACAAGAACCGGCACGACAGTGTGTTACAAATTGAATTTAGACGTGTTATTTGAAGGATTCACCATGTAAAGTTAAGTTTATCGACAAACAGAGAAATAATTAAAAGAGTGAGAATTTGTATAATACAGAATGAAAAACATATCGAACATTTGATAAATTAAATGTAAAATAATCTTGCATCGTTTCTATTTTATTGTAGTGTGTTCAATTATAAAAAAAAATGTTAATTTCATGATCTTCCTTTCATTTAAAATGCTATGTAATTTAGAAAGAAAAAAAAACTTTTATTAACCATTTCGACAGTTATCATAAAATACGTCATGTCTTTTTTGTCACGTTTCACGAGTTTGATTATTGGTTGTCGCAAGCGATTTAAAAAAATCCGTGAATGCAGTTGTACTTATTATTAAAAATAAAATGATGTCTTCTTTCAGTAAAATATCATATCTTCAACATTTACGATACTCTCCCTCTGTGTGGCATGCCCGTGGGACGCCCTGTATACTTCTATGCACATGTAGTACTTATAGTGGCAACACCAGGTGTGGTCCTTAGTTGATCCCAGAGTTAAGCCCGCGACGCGCGCCGCCTTAGTTCTCGCCGCCAGGATTTGCCTTATCGAGCCCTCGGGATCTCCTTGTCTTGCGAGAGGGGAATAAGGATCGAATAAACCCTTACCGCCGCCGTTACGACAATCTAACGGACTTAATGTCCGATAAAAACGCACTATAGCTCTTATACTTGCCGAAATAGAGTTCTGATTTGAAATATTACGTAGCTACGTATTAATATTTTATTTTTATTTTTATGGACACTGTATCTAGACATATATTGGGCATATTAATGAGAGATAAAATAAAAAATCGGCAATGAAAATTTTATTTTACTCAAGGGTGTCAATTTTCTTCGTTTTTCGACTCGACTCGGATTCGCACGGAATTGCAATTTACTAATAAAAGTTTTTTTTTTTAATTTATTTCGGTACAAACCTTGTCCTTACCTAACACAAAAAAACTTAGTAAGCAAATGCCGTTATCAACTAATGTTCCGTCTTACATGTGGCATTTGATTTATATGTTACAGAGATAAGTAAATAGAAGTAAATAAATATTTAATAAACGGAGCAACGTTGATTAAAAAGAAATAAAAAGAATGGCATGCCTCTGGCCGTCCTTTCTACCTACACTGTAGTGTATGGCAGAGGTTCTGAAACTGAATTCTATATTGCCATTTTATTGATGGTCATTTTGTTTTCTAGCGCCCACAAAAACTATTGTTTTTGGTCAACCAGAGTTCGAAAATATCAGATAATTATAATAATTAATATCAAAATATCCGATATTAAAGATATATAGCGGATATAATATATCACTTTTTACCCGACTGCGCAATGCAAGAGCGCGAAGCGCGACGCGCAGACAGGCTATAGTGTTTAACAGTCTAACCAAACGCGTGGACCGATTTTATATATACAGTGAAACCTGGTTAATTGGGATCATAAGGGACCAAGACATATGTACCAATTATTGAGGGTATCCAATAATCCAGTTTTCCAATTAAGCAAGTTTAAAATTATAGTGGTCTCATTTACAGAGGCCCCCGCTTACAGAGGTCGAAATGTGCCATTATTCCCTTGTTTTTAGATCAAAACCTGAGATAGTACTGACAAACAAAGCATGCGCGAAAGACGACGCGAAATGTATGTAAACAAACATGTCAAAACTTGTTACAACCTGATTAATTAGTCTCACTTATACAGGTAATTGAGCTACAGAGTCTCAATTATAGAGGTAAACATCGAAAGACTCTTAGAATTCAAATCTCATTTAACCAGGTTCAAAAAGTCCCATTAACAGAGGTAATTTAATGAAAAAGAACCGGGTTCCATTGCAACTCTCAATAATAGAGGTTTCTCACTTATCCAGGTCCCACTAAACCAGGTTTCACTATATATATACAGGGCGTCCCACGGCTACCTCACACGGAGGGAAAGTATATTAAATATTGAAGATAGGGTATTTTGCTGAAAGGGGATATCGTTTTATTTGAGCAAAAAATAATCCTTTTGATTAATCCTTTCGATGGTTGTCATAAAATATGTTGTGTTTATTTTTTCGAAATTTCACGAGTTTGATTCCCAGTTGTAGCAAGCGATTTTTTTAAAATCGGTGAATGCAGTTCTAGTTATTACTAAAAATAAAATGATGTCTTCTCTCAGTATAATATCCTAACTTCAATATATAATATACTTTCCCTCCGTGTTAGGTAGCCGTGGGACGCCCTGTATATTGGCTATGTATCACTCACTTTCATCAATTTATTGTGCAATTAAATTAAATTTCCCTTAAACAATATCGTAGAAATAATTCATTTGATATTAATAGTCTAAATTGTAACGGAAGTAAATATTCATATTTATTAATTCTGCATATATATCAACCAATCTGACTAACTATTCTATTTCTAAGTCCAGGCAGTAATCATAAAATGTTACTGTAAATATAATTCATTTATTAGTGTGCTGATAGAAATGGATGTTTAACAAAACAAAACATGTTTACAATGTAATTTTTTGGTAATTTTCACTATTACGGGTTATAAAGTGAATATTTGAGTTTAATGACCCTAATGTTATTAAAAAACAAAAATAGAGTGTTTTAAAATAAGACGATAGGTAATTATATCTAATTATTCTCTTTATGAGTGAAATGAAAACAAGTTTTTTATATGTAATAATAGTTCCAACACTCACACCAATTAGCCTAGCCCCAAAGTAAGCACTCATAAAGGCTTGTGTTATGGGCTACTAGAGTAACGGATATAATACATATACTGTACATATATAAGTATATTTTTATAGAAATAACACAACTGGGGTACAAATGCTCGTATTCATCACACAAACATCTGCGTCCACCGGGATTTGAACCCGGGAGGGACCTCTCGAGTCGGCGACACCATGAAAACTAGCGTACAAACCACTCGGCCAAGGAGGTCGAATAATAGATATTTATATCTTGAAACCCTGGTGTTAATACAATAATATTAAATCTTTACCATTCATATAACTAAACGGTGTATAGTAAATATTAAATAAATCATTGTGATATACATAAGTTAGTTTGCTTCATATAAAAGGACAATGAGCAAAACACACCCAGCTCCGCCAACAATGTAATTAGTATTAATCGAAAGATCTATGAAAAATTAGTCTTTTTTACTATATCACCGTAAAAAATATGCTGGTAATCGAAAGCTTTAACACAATGTGTTTTTAAGTAGTTAGTAGTAGTTAATACGAACATATTTAAGTAGCTAAATCAATTCATTTAATAGTGCCTACATTTTATATTATTACTAACCTATACAACCAGATATACGAAAAAGCCTGCTGACCATCCTTGCACTTACTGAGACACCTCAAAACGGTCGAATATGCAGTCCTTCGTCATACTTCGTTGTGATTGTGCCCTCCTTGTCACTTGATTGATTTTTAACTAACACGCATTGGACATTGGAACACGATTATCGGTTTTGTGAATTAGTATGGATGAACTGGAATCATGTTTTATCCGAGGCGTGGACAAGTTTGTGGGATTTGTGGTCGCTCTGTTTTATGTAGAAGACAATTTACTATAACGAAATAACTGTTTGAAAAAACCCGACCCAAAGGGTATTTTTGGATTAATTCTAGCGCGGAAGAATAACATAAGGGCGCCCTTGCACCTTGTGAAGTACTCCCATAATACCTGAGCCCTCTATTTCGGACTAACTAAATTAATTCCCTAGTTCCATTAATGTTCGTTCGTTATAGAACTTGTACCTATTTAACTTTAAATAACTGAAGACCCCCGGGATGAAATTTAATGCACTTTAGGACATTAGATGATCATGACTATAATACCTTTAAAAGATCGTGGCGGACGTGGGTGCAGCGTCCATATATTTTTGCTCAATGTCCGTTGAAAAAGGAACAAATGTGCTTTAGCCTCTCTAAGTTGGTTCAACTTCCCCTAATTTTATCTGGCATCCTGTGCCCCCTTGTGGACTTCCAGCACCCGTAACAATTTAATACTAACCTATACGAACTGCTTTGAGAAAGACTGCTGTAGGGTATTGAGACTACATTTTAGTTTGCATAAAAAAGGTCTAATTACTGTTTTATTAGTATGAAAATGTATTGAGAAGGTTGTTTTCTCATTATCATCAGAGTGCGTGAGTCCACTGCTGGGCAAAGGCCAAGCACAAATGAAGCCTTTGACGCTTGCTTTGGGCCCCGCGCACCATAACGCTGCCAGTTCGCCCGGCAGCGATGAACATCTTATCCATCTTATCCCTTGTAAGTTTAATATAATTAAAAAAATAATCATAGATAGACATTATCTGTACCCCAAGCACGGAAAACTAGCGAGAACTTATGTATTCGTATCACCTTGTCAAAATTTCTATGGAAAAAGCTAGTTTGTTCTTATGTACGGTACTGCTTAGTTTCCATAGAAACTTTGACGTTGGCGAATACGAATACGGATCTGTCAAAGTTCGTGCTGGAGGTACTTCCTAATATTCATTCCTGCAGTAATTAAAGTTTCTACGGTTCCACGGGTTAGAGGATGGGGTTAGACAGCGTGGGCGAACCGCGAATCATACTCTAGTATTCCAAGCATTTATGAAGATCGCTTGCTATTCAAAAGAGCTTTTAATAAGCCAACTTGAATAACGTTAATTATTTTCATTTCATATCAGGCGGGTCATATGCTTATTTAACATTTTTCAATATTTAATAAAAAGCCGATGCGTATTTTTTAAATGGTTTTATTTAATTTGGCCTGTTTATTTGGACAATTCGTTTGAATATTTTAATATTATACACAGTATACTTATAGTTAAAAAAAAACTATACTATACATACTTGCATGCAAACATAAGAGCAGGACAGAAACTTACGAACCCAGTGTGAGAATTGCCTTTGAATGTGTCACGAATGAGAAGTTTATAAAAGAGCGTGATTTACTAAATTACTAAAGACATTTCTTATGCTTTTCTCTTATAAGCAAAAAATCTCTGTGAATGCTTAAATTTCGGAACATGAGCAACCCAGTTAACATTTTGAAAATATAAATTTTCTTTATTTCGGTTCGTTATTGTCAATATTTACAACTAAATAGAATTGGGTTCAGGCGCGATCGCAGTCTGAAATTTTGGAGGGGGTCACTCACTACACTAATAAAAAATAGGTATCTGGAATAAAATAAACATTATTGCACAAGAAACAATTTTATTTTATACATCTTTATATATATAATTCTTCTGTGAGTGTGTATGTCACTGAACTACTCTTAAACGACTGGACCGATTTTGATGAAATTTTTTGTGTGTGTTCAAGGGGATCTGAGAATGGTTTAGATTCACAATTTTGTCCGCTGGACAACCCCTATTTTTTTAGGGCGGTACGAAGTTCGCTGGGTCAGCTAGTTACTTATAAAACAAATGGAAGTTGTCTTTTTGTATTTGCGAATTGGGTGATAATATTTGAGACGTCTGGTACTATTACCGGGTGAATGTTTAGAAGAGCTAAACCTGGTAATCGATCTTGTAACATGTTAGCTCTCAACCACGTTTTTACACGCCTAAGCGTAGAATAGGATCTCTCTGCTGTCGCACCACTTATGGGAAGAGTTCATTGCAAAAAAAATGATGAAGCAAAATTGCGCTTTGAAGGTCATCATTATATTAATTTATATTTAAAATTTAAATTAATTCCGTTTAAAAACTAACGGAATAGAATTCATTTAGAAAGTAGGTATGTTAAGTTCATCCATACATATTTTGGCGAATAGAGAAGACAATCTGAGAATCTCTTTATTACCAAGCAATAACGAACTCAAACTTAATATCTTCTACTAAACTTTTGTTTGGTAGTGTCTCATAAATATGTAATAATCTACTAAAACATATAAATTACGTGCCTAATTAAAAAAACTGTTTATATGAAAAATTAAACTTGTTAAGATGTGCGGTATATTAATAAAATCTTTTATGATTTTTAACTTAATCGAGAAGAAAATGTAGCATGCAAATGGTAAAATTTATACCCTTTTTCGGAGTTAAATAAATTAATTTCTATGGCAATAATTTTATTCTATTGTGCTTTATTCTTATAATAGGATCGTGTGCTGGGATTATCGAGATGCGACAGTTGCTTAATTTAGTCATCTTTGTTCACCCTATTCCAATACAGTACAGTAAGACGCAGTTTTAGTTTTGATTGCTGTAGAGTAGGCCACGCTACCACAAAGAACAAGATTTTCGACTATCTATCAAGTTACCTAATAATGGCACCCTATTGGAGTAACAAATTGTGAAACATGATGTGATGTCAATAATGGTCAGGAGTAGTGTATTGCCATAGTTTGATTCCGAGAGGACTTTCCTCTCTGCCTTCTAGCTATTAATAAATGAAGAATCAATAAGTCATTAAGAATATTTGAATGTTTTGCATCTTCATTGAATTACAAATATCATTTTTGTGATGAAAACACAACATGTGTCTATCTTGGTCCACTGCTGGACATGGCCTCTCGATAGTTCATTCTTAACAGGGTATTTTTTTTAAGTTTACACGGTAGATGTACACACACCCATATTTATAAAGGTCATATGACATACCTTTATAAATTTCCAATACATTAGATTTTTTTAGATTCGATTCGACATATTTACTTACAAACAATTAATGGTGTCCATACGTGCATGATTTCTCTAATCTTAAAACTAAATTTAACATCAACCTCTCCTTTTCATTCTGTACAAAGAATGACAGCGATATACTGTTTTGTCAAATTAAAGTTTATGTTTAGATAATCATGTCAGAATCGACATCAATATATTACATTTACAATTTTTCTGGCTGGTTTAACTCTGGTATTGATTTTTGGGTAAAAAACGACTAATGTTTTGTTTTTCTTTTGTTGTAGGTAAAACGCGCACAAAGGACAAGTATCGAGTGGTGTACAGCGACCATCAGAGGCTTGAGCTCGAAAAGGAGTTCCATTATAGCCGGTACATCACGATCCGGCGAAAGGCTGAGCTCGCAGCAAGCTTGGGCCTCTCTGAAAGACAGGTAATAAAAAAAATACTACTGCTCTCTTAGCTAAGGATTGATACGAGAAAAAGCTCTTTGTTGACCAATTTTGTAATTGAACTGTGCTAAGGATATAAACTTATGTAGTTCACATCCCCTGTCAAAAATGTTGGGTGTCGAAGTTTGACATGATATTGTAATAATTTTTGACTGTTTATAATTATGGAAAATGTTTGTTAAATTTAAATACGAGTTATCATATCATTTGCCAATGACACGGTATCGATCCAAGCTTCCGAAAGTTATATATAATTTTAACTCCGAAATCCGATTTTTTTTATCATGGATTTGCTCCCAAGATAAATAATGTCCGCAATAGTTAAGGCTTTGCATAGTTTGAGAGTCAGAATAATTTTCATTTTAGTTGTACGCAATTTAGGTAGGTATTTTTGCTTTAAATGATTATGGTATCATTGTATATTTAAAATCTGTTTTACTGAAGACTAAGTATTTTGCAGGTGAAAATCTGGTTCCAAAACCGTCGCGCGAAGGAGCGCAAGCAGGTGAAAAAACGAGAAGAGGTGGTGATGAAGGAAAAAGGTGATCACGCGTCGCTTCAACACGCACAGCTACATCACGCCACGATGCTTCACCACCAGCAAATGATGAACGGCATGATGCATCACCACCACTACCATCAAGGAGTCTTACAAGGAGTCCCTGAGCCACTAGTTCCAGGAGTACCACCTGTCCCCTTACTGTGACCACACCAGCAAGACTACTGCTCCCACGATTACGCGTAGTGATCGCAAAGACACCAGTGCTTACCTGCTGAAGGTATACAAAAACTATTTGTGCATAATAGTGCTTATTCTCTTCGAAGTGACTTTTAAGAATTTGTGATAGTCTAGTGCAATCCTCTCGGGAATGTTTAACAGGCGTTTCAATATTATGATTGGTGGATACATAGTTAGATATTATATATACCGAACGTGATCATTTTAGTGTTAGGACTTTTTTCACTGTTGCGCACCATTTTATTTAGCGATTTTAGTTAACAGTCTTAATACCGATATGGAAAAAGTTCTTCCACTGAAATAAGTACTTATCTCACTTTCACACTAAATAGTTAATGCAAATTTGTATGAGCCTCTGTCAAAATTCTACGACCCTCCTGGTTTGTCTTTACCTATATATATACTCGAAGAGGTATTTTATAATTTAATTAATATTCGTCACTGTAAATATAGATTTCTATATTTTTATATTATTGTAATAATTAAAATTATTGAATTGATTATATTTTAAGTAGTTTGAGTGCATTTCTCAATGCTATAAATGCCACTCATTCAATTATCTACGATACAATTGGTTGTTATTTATAAAAAAAACAATAGTCACTTTACCAATTGTTTTCAAGCTGTTGATTTTCATTTTATTGTTCCCAACTTGTCTGTTTTATGGCAAGTAAGGTATTATTTATATCTTTTTAAAAATTGTGACGAATCTCATACGTTTTATTAAATTAAAATGTATTATGAAAATACGATTTTATGTTAATTTGTGTTCATAGCATTGAGAAATGGTTTGATTTTTTTTAATGTTGAATGAGATTATTCCTAGTTGTTAGTTGTTCTGTAAATAATAGCTTGTAATTAGATTAACTTATGCCTATTTCTTATAATATTACACAGCATAATAATGATACACTAAATTCACGAAACGAATGATTATAATAATTGTAATTGACTTTGATTTATTTGCGTAGTCGTAAATATTTAATTCATTGATTTAAAACAGAACCTATGTGGAAATAGGTGAACTGAATTTGCTGATTTGTGATACCAATTAATTAATAAATGTGAAAGTGGTGCTAATAGCGTTTCATCGTGACTGTATTTTTTTTTTCATTTATATTTGCAACTAAAAGACCGTTTTTTAATTCTAGATTTTTTAAAGAACTTGACGACCTAATTGTAACGTGTGCTTGTTGTAAAAATGTTGTATTTGTTGTTTGAATCGTTTGTAAACACAAGAATTGTTAGTAAGTGCGGCACTATCACGGAACACATTTGATAAAGGAAATAAAGTCATGTTAATGTATTTCTAAATATGGTTATTTTAGTGTTTTTCATCCTTCTCCCGTAATATATAAAATAAGTAGATACTTGCCTATATGATAGGCTATTTGACAGTATGAAAACTAAAGTACAAATATTGGATTAAAACAAAATGGGAAGATACGCCACTCGCGACTTAAGTGTACCGCTTAAATTGTGGTGCATGACCACAATTCGCTCACATTGATTGCAATGTAACAATATTACGTATAATCTGTGTTATAAAGATAAAACAATGCCTTCGATGATTTTATAAAGAATAGAAATAGTTCAAGATCAAATAACACACGGCAACAGTTTTTAATTAGTTAAACCACGAAAACATTTTATTTCCCTAAAATAACGGTTTGTCATGAATGTTATTTACTTTTTCGCCATTGTTATCTAGAAAAGGACAACTGTACTGCTCCAGCCGTTTGTAAACAAAAGAAATAATTAAATTGTTATAAAGATAAAACAATGCCTTCGAAGCTTTTATAAAGAATAGAAATAGTTCAAGATCAAATAACACACGGCAACAGTTTTTAATTCGTTAAACCACGAAAACATTTTATTTCCCTAAAATAACGGTTTGTCATGAATGTTATTTACTTTTTCGCCATTTGTTATCTAGAAAAGGACAACTGTACTGCTCAGTCGTTTGTAAACACAAGAAATAATTAAATTGTTGTAAAGATAAAACAATTCCTTCGATGCTTTTATAAAGAACAGAAATAGTTCAAGATCAAATAACACACGGCAACAGTTTTTAATTCGTTAAACCACGAAAACATTTTATTTCCCTAAAATAACGGTTTGTCATGAATGTTATTTACTTTTTCGCCATTTGTTATCTAGAAACACACTGTACTGCTCATCCGTTTGTAAACACAAGAAATAATTAAATTGTTATAAGGATAAAACAATGCCTTCGATGCTTTTATAAAGAATAGAAATAGTTCAAGATCAAATAACATACAACAAAAAAAAACGTAAAACCACGAAAACATTTTATTTCGCTAAAATAATGGTTTAATAATGTTATTTATTTTTTCGCCATTTGTTATCTAGAAGGACAGCTGTACAGCTCAACCGTTTGTAGAGAGAGAAAAGAAAACGCAGTCGCCAAGCGACAAGGACTCGCCGCCGCGCCGTACCGCTCGCGTTGCGTTGAAGCGTACAGTTTCTGTCTCGCTAACTCCATTGGTGTTTATTTACAGAATTGTGCGTGCGTGAGAGTTGCTTATATGGTAGAGTCGGAGCATATTTTATTCGATGCTAGTATGAGCGTACCGTATCTTCCCTTCTTGTTTTAAACTAAGGTACCAATTTAAATAAAGTACCAATTTTGACATGTGTATTTAACATATTGGGAGCGATTTTACTATTCTGCCAAAAAAAGTTGTTGATAATATTACTAAAAATCATAAGGTCACGAGACCGAAAACGCCTAGGATTAGCGGATAAAAAATAACGTTATCTGCTTGTATACATCCTGACGGAGTGGGATTACTTTGTACTTTTTACCGTTCAAATGAGAGCCATGTGACGTCACCTGCCTGTAACACGCCATCTTTACCAGAGAAACATTTTTTTACTGATATACGCTAAAGAATTAAAAATATTCACTTTTCTATGGAATCACTATACATTAAATAAATAACTTGTCAAATAGCCTTATCTTAATTATAACAAATCGGCCAAGTGCGTGTTGGGCCAGGTTCTATAGTTGCGCATCATAAAGCGCAAATCTCAAAGTAATAGCACAGAAAATATAATATAATAGTAGGATTTGGACGATCACAGGCACGCAGCATATGACCCGGCCGGGTGGCCGTAAGCCAGGGGGCCATTCGCCTAACGGAAATACTTTGGAAAACGCTAACGATTAGAATTTTATTTTGTTATTTCAAGCCGCCTGAGGTTTCCAAATGCCTCGGGCTCTTATTTTTTCTTTTGCATTGGTAATAAGAATATAAAAGAAAATGAGCGTGAGGTATTTGAAAACCTGCGGCGGTCAGAAATAACAAAATAAAATCGAAAGTGTAAGCGTTTTTCAAAGCATTTCCGTTAGGCGAATGGCCCCCTGGTAGGTACTGCCAATACTAAAATTAAATTAAAGCGTAAACATTAACTTTATTAGAACTTATAAGTTAACTGATGAGTATCCACTTTCGAAAGCAAACAATGTAACTTTTTAATGAAATACAGTGCCTATACCTAGGTAATGCGTTTTTCTATTAGTATTATGAAAGTGAGAATGCAGACCCAGATAGCACCTATAAAAAGAATGTGATGTTGATTTAACTCATAAAAAAGTGAAAAATAAAACTTTTTTACTATAGTAAATTAAGTATACTTTATACGAATCCACCTAAATAAAACAAACCACTTCTAAAATTTAAAAAATGGTTTTGTACCGATACACATTCTTATTTGTGTTTAGGTGAACTTTAGATATGAGTAAATAAAAATTAATTTATTAATATTTAGTGTTTTAACGTACATTTATTATTGATTCAATAATAGATAAGTACATTTAAATAACAAAAACTTAAAATTATTCAGTCTCTATAATTTAGGTATAATACAAATTACCTTCACAATTTTTTGTTAAAAAAGTTTTTCGTATATCACATTGATTGGCCTGCTCCAAGAATGTGGGAGCCCTGATTCGGTGAACGTAAGGAAAAGTGTAAAGATCGAATACCGCTAATTGGTTAGTAAGCCGATGCTTATTGCAGGCATCTCTGTGATCAAAATCAAACGCGCCGCCCTTCACGTATCTCGCCGCCCGGCTCGCACATCAGAGGCCCTCATTTGTAATTACTAAAATAATTATTTCAAAATAAAGGTTCCGTGCATAATTACACGGCATTTAGCGTATTTATCTTTTAATATCAATATTTTATTAGATTTAAACAAAAAAAGGTCAAAATAGTCATTCCGGGAATGCGTCCTTGTGAATATGTTATGAATATGTTAATTTTAAGTATTAATTATAAAAATGTTTATTATTAATACTTAAAATTAACATATTTTAATATAAGCTTTGAAAATCATCAAATTAAGAATATACGTATATAAAAACAGTTTCATTTCTTCATATTTTGACTATTCAAATGATGTCAGACGTTTATTAAATCATTCCGTGAACGCGGTGGATATCGATCAATGTAAATAAAAGGACACACGCGAGATGGCGTTAGCGAGCACCAGCGTGAAGTTCACTAGTCAAATCAAAAGGTGAGTTTCATGTTTACGGAAAAAAATAAAAGATTTTGTTCCTAAGTACCTTTTAAATTGATATGTGTGAAGCGTACTTTAAGATTAGTTTTTCTTAAATTTGCATATTTCTGCAAAATTCTTATAAATATTACAGCTCACTTGTTCATAACATCTAAAACCAATATCTAACATGGCGGCGTCAAGCGTGACATGAAAATATTTTTTCGAATAGTCATTTCGGGTACGGTCATTTTGGGAACGTTCCCTTACATAACCCGTAGATAATAAGGCGTTCCTGAAATGTCAATTTTAGGGCAAAGGATGCTCTAATGCTTTAAAAAACATAATTTTGGTTTAAGGTATTCATTTAGTAAGAGTAACATGGAAAACGATAAAAGTAAAAAGAAAAGGAAGTCAAAAAAAAAGGATTAAAAGAGGACAGTATATCCCATCATTTTCGGGGACATCACAAAAACGGCAAATAAATCACTAATAAGTAATACTATAGTTAAATTTTGCATATTATTGTACAATATTAAATAACCTTTAAACTTTTGCATTTATATTATTTATCAACTCTGATACTATAATACAAAGATTCTAAAACTGAAAACAAAATGCTTACGACAAACATTACGTACAGGCAAAAAAAAAAAGTTTAATTACGATACAGGTCTTGCATGGACACCTGTAACATGATATAACTTTTTAATCATAACGATACACCTATACAACCTCCAGCTGGACCAAGGAGGTTGAACCTCTACTTTAAAAAGGTTTCAATGAACGAGTCCGCGACGACGCAACACGCATTCGCAATCGATGCACCTTGGCGCCAACATTTGACATT